CTCACTTAACCTAATTATTATGGCCTCATGTTTAGTTTATAAACAGATACTCTAGGCTTTAGGATTCTTTTGGGTTCATCTCCAGGGCCCTAAAAAGGCTCCGTAGGAACTGGTGGAATATTTGCTATCTCCCTGCCTTCATGGACTCAAAAAACCCATCAGAATGGGGGAAAAAAGCTCCACTTTGAATAATCACTGGCAGGGCCATAATTAGGTCAGGGTGACCAGAACTCTGTCACCAGATACCCAAATTTAGAGAGCACAAGCGTAAGAAAAAAAAAAATCAGCAACAGCAACAACAAAAAAAACTATTTAAGGCAGTGTAAAATTTTAAGCTTCTCAGCAAATTTCCACACCAGCTCTCTAGTCACAAGGCTTCTAGCTCAACTCCAGGGTGAGACCAGCTTCTATGGGACTGAACAGAGATAGACAGTGCTTGAAAGCCAAGGTCAAGAGCAGAGACTTCTCTGACCCTTTGTATGCTGAGAGCTTGAGATCAAGTTTGTCTCCTCCTTTCCACTTGCCTCATCCACTCCCTGGCACGTAGTGGTTTGAAGTTGTCAAACTGCTCGTCGTATTTATAGTTATTGTTGACAAGGTTAGAAACCTGGCCTGAGTTGAAGGTGCCTGGACCTGTGCACCCACTCCCAGCCCTGACGTGTACCCATCAGCAGTCCTATCATCGGAGCATCAACCTCTGCCTACGCTGGGAAGAGGAAGAAACACAAAGCACAATTTTGGTCTCAGTCCTTATTTCTCCACATAACTTGTCCTCAAGTTCCCACAAAAATCCTTATAGCTTTGATCTTTGGAATCCTGCAAACATAAAACAAATATGTTCCCTGGTTCTGGTGAGAAAGTTTTCATGTAACACAGTAAAAATTTTGTACAGTTTTCAATGGACTGTGACATTTCTTCCTCTTAGGTCCCTCCTAACAAGGACTTGACAGTTAAAAAATTTTACAAAGTCAATATTTTTAAACAAAAATAATTAAAACCACACATGATTGAGTTTCCACACACAGAAGAGTTTGTGAATAAAAAAGTATACAACTACCATTGTTGCTGCCAAGAGGGATGCTATTGTTATTGTTTCCAGTTGGAATCATTTATAATACTTCTGTAAAGCTTTTGACTAATCTAAGAATATTTTTGGTAAATTTAGAATTCTAGGATTTCTTCAGCTATTTTCCAAGTAGATTCTAAAGCCATGTTGTCTATTGCTTCAGGTGTAATTTATACCTAAACTAAACAATTTTTTTAGGCAGAAGAAGGGCATGAAACATCACAAAGCCAAACACAGAGTATTGTCTGAACATATGTCACTTGGGATCATCTGGATCATTTTTGATCATTTACCTTTGTTAAAATAGTTAAAAGTGAACTAAACAAAAACAGGAAGCACTGTTTAACTTCCTGTGTTAATTGCAGTTTAGATGGACAATGTTGTCTAAACTACTAGTCAAATATTCTGTATAAAGGTTTTATGCCCAGTGACCTCTTCCATATAAAAACCTTTCATATAAAATTATTATTATTTTTGCTTAATCCCAACTCATAGACAGACAACAGCATGGAGATTGCCAGAGGGAAAGAGGTGAGGGGAGGTAGAAGAGGGTAAAGGCGGGAATAAATGATGATGGAAGGAGACTTGACTTGGGGCGACAAACATACAATGCAATATACAGATAATGTATTATAAGATTGTACATGTGAAACCTATAAATTTTATTAGCCAATGTCACCCCAATAGATTCAATTAAAAATTAAAAAATAAAAATAAATGATTTTTCTTTCTTATGGAATGACTTAGTCCTTTACCTATATTAATTTTACTGAAGTGTAATCAAAATTAAACAGAAGTCATCCTCATTCATGATCCTTAACATCAACACAATTCTCAAATTGGAGCTAATAAAAAGTCTCATCGGAAAATCATTTTCCATCCCTTTAGTCCCTCTTTGGCCCCCGTGGAGCAACCTAATTTTTGTCACTAAAAAACCTTTAAAAATTAGACTGATGTTTGAGAGTGATGTCCTCTCTTGGCAGATGCATTGAAAGTGATGAAATAGTTCTTACTGAATGTGTCTACCATAACCTGAATACCTTCTGAACTGAATCTTAAGAGTCAGCAATATAAAAATGTAATTGACTAAATTCGGCAAAGTATGAGGCACAATTCTGAAGTCCTCAACTTTAGAAAAACAAAATAAAATAATCAGAGTTTAGAACTCAATTTCTTAATAGTAATAGAGTATTCCAGTACTCTGCAAGATAATTCTAGAGAGATCCTCACTTAGAAACACACATATTTTGATAAGGATAGAGATGCATAAGTTTATTCAACACACACATGCATGCACACACATATAAGCACACACTCATAATCTTAGGTTTAGTTACAGCTATCTAACGACATAAAAGGAAATATGTATGCCATACCTACCAATTGTTACTATAAAGTAATCCCCAACTTTAATCTGTTCTAAGAAAATATCCTCATTAACCTGTAGTCAGACTTTGAATGACATAAGCATGCATGTGCATCCTTAAGTGAAGACAATATGCAATAATCAAAATATTTTGGTCTAATCCAGAGTTTCTCAACCTCGACACTACTGCCATGTTAGACTGGGTAACTCTTTTTGTGTGGGGATCTGACCTGTACATTTTGAGTGTTTTGCAGGATCGCTGGCGTCTACCACTAGATGTCAGTAACACCCCCTAAATCATGACAATCAAAAATGTCACCAGAGAGGAGAATCACCCGTTTGAGAAGCACTGGTCCAAGTAAACATTATCATTTTAGGATATTTCAGTTTTGCCTTTCAGAAGCCACAGATTTATGGACTGACCATTGTACAAACCTACTGCACAAATCTACCCCAAACAAGCTGTTAACATTTCCAGGTATGCTTTTAATGGAACTGTGTTTCATTGGCTTTCTGTAGCTCATTAATTACATTTTAACAATTTTAACAATTAAAGCACTAATTTGAGTGACATTTCATTAACATTTGTATGTGTATTTCATTAGCCCTTTTATATTTCTGATGAAGTATATAGGTTAAAATGTATTCCTTTTTAAGGTAATTATTAAATAATAACAATAGCTCGAGAGGAAATATATTCAGGGTTGCACATAGTGAATAACACAGCTCACTCAATAGTACATTCTCAGTACATTTTTGCTGCCATATAGGATCAAAATAGTAGATCAGTTCTGCATGGAATCAATATTCTCAAATTTTCAACTTTCTAAGTATCAGAATAATCTGTGTCATGTCAACCAGTCATATTTCAATTGCTGATTTCTGTCATAACCTCAAAATTCAATTTAGAAAAATGATACAGATATTTTTTTGAAGGGTGTTGTTATCTTGATGGTTTTTAAATTAATTTACCAAAAACTGCTACCTGTTCTAATCTATATTGTGTACTAAGTTTCTAACATTAAAAAATGAACCTTTTTGGCACAGTTCATCTAAATTTTGGCAATACTTAAAAAAAAAATGATTTCCAGTGTCTCCTTTTAGATTAAGGCATCCCAAAGAACAATGACAATGAAAGGCTTCCTTTACCTTTCTCTTATATGTAAACACATTTAACTGCTTGTAGTCTGTCAGAGCTTGGCTTTCTAAGTTGTCCTACCTGCTACTAAGAGACTAGATAGCTACTAACTCACATCCCTTCACTTGTATGAATCTGCCTTGTATGAGATTACTCAACACAGGGTCCACTCATGGGAGTCAGAATGAGTAAAACAATTCTGTTCATTTGGGGTAAGCATTTGGGAGTAAGGCTTCTCATGCTGGTATGAGCACTATGAGCAGCAACCAGTAAGCTGGCTTATCCTACATCAGAGAATAGTGGGTAGTACATAATACATTTATAGCTCTCCAACACTGGTTACAAATTTTTTAAAATACCAGGCCATGTGGGTTCAACTTTCATGGTTGCACAGGAATGAGCTTTGTTTAATTGCGTGTGTGTGTGCATCAACACATGAATGCTTGTGTATATGCATACATAATGCTTTATCTTCAAGTGAACACACCATGGTAGATAGAAAAGGGAAGAACCTTCCAGTCTGTCTTCCAGAGACTAAGTTTACACCACTGCGAACATTAAATTATGATGACAATTATGCAAATAGTTTGCAAATAAATAATGCACTCACATTGTAGTCTTTATGCACTAAAATAATAATAATGCAAATAGGCTTACAAAATGCAGACCTAAAATTGATTTTATGCCCTAAATTCTGAGGAGGAGGAAAAGTGGTTCATGTTATCCAGACTATGAGTCAACACAGTCTAAATTCAACAATGCTTCACATTGTCTAAGTAGACCTGACAAAAGGGGAGGAAGCAATTCTTATTTAACATTTTTCAATGGGAGGAGACTATAGCTAACATAGACTTGGTTCCACAAATCACAATATCAGCTGTAGTGCTTTGTATCCTTAGATTTTTAAAAATCTATCTCATTACTCACTCACTGCCCCTAAATAGAGCAAAAATAAATAATAATTTTTTAAAAACTTATGGTTCTAATGTCAGTTTTCATACATAGTTGTTGTTGTTGTTGTTGTTGTTGTTGTTTAAATTAAGCCAGTCTGTACTGACAACCAGTAACACTTTGCCCTGGCACTTACTTTATTAACCTTAAGTAACTCCTCAACTTCAACAACTAGAGTTCCGTCTTATTTGTGAACTGAACCTTCTCGATTTTAACCCATGTAAATGTGCTTTACCAACATTATTTCATCAGAATGTTAAGATTGCAAATCCACAATGTGCTATAAAATATTTCACAGGACATTTTACTTCTTACTTGTCCTCCAAGCCAACATTAAAAGTAGAGTTTCCCATGGTTGGTGGTTGTTGTGTGCAAGTGACCCATGCAAATTCATGAAACAACTTCACCATTTCCTTTTGCAGTCATGTAGAAAACCTAACAAAAATACCCTGACTTAGTTTTTCCTTTTTCCACTGTCCCTAGGAGGTGGGCTGGAGTGAGGTGTCCTCACACGGGTCTAGCTGCATTCTCAGTGCACCAATTTTATGAAGATACCAGAGTTGGAGAAATTCCTCTGGCATGGCATGAAAGCCAGAAAAGGGCAAGACATTATCATAGTAGTGGTGGCTGATGGGCTGCTCATGCATATTCACAGAGAAGGGCCAGAAGCCATAGATGGCCACCTCCTCACAGAGTCCCAGGGCTGCGCTCACCAGAAAGAGTCCTGTAGACAGGCGTTTGGCATGAATTCCCCTACTTTTCCAGAACTTTCCAATGCTACGCAGAAAGTTGGGGTTAGCAAAGAGCACTGTTTGATTGGCACCGACATCTGACAGTGTATAATAAACCCGGAGGGATGGCTCTGTTCCTGTCTTCATAGAAAACGCAGGCATGTAGATGTAACTGTGGTTATAAATTTTCATGTTGTCCACAAATGTCTTTCTGGACCACAGCAGGTTCTGAAACCTATTGAAGAGAAAGAGAGACTCAATGAACCTGAAGAAAAGAAATTCATCAACACCTACTCTGTTGTTTTTCTGATGGCCTTAATAGTTCATATCGTCCTTGAACTTCCAATGATCTCTCATCATGTAACGCGGCTTTCCCTCGCCTCTAAACTCAGGTTAAGATTCCTTCATGGAATTCCTTCAGAACTAAAGCACGTTGTAAATTTTGTTCTCTTCATTTTATTTGTTTGAAGTGTAAAGATGATTTAATACTCATGAATTCAAAAAGCTTTTGGTTATCAGATAAGATTTTAATAAAAGCTACTTGTGAGGTCTGACATAAGCACAGGACCGCTTTCTTCAACTGCACAACAAAGGATCCTCTTCTAAAATAATTCTTCCCATTGAAATTCTATGATTTTACAATACCAGTGTTCAGATTAACCAACGCTATATTGTAACTATAACATGGAAAAAAAAGACTTGTTATTATAAAAGGATGTTGGGAGTTGCCCATTTTGCTTGCACTAAAGAACATTTCTCTCCTATGTTCTTTCACTTTGGATTACATGAAATGAAAGTTTAAATATATTCCCCTAAAATGGATGGTCCACATCCTATATATCAGTAATTGAGGAATTAAAAATTTAATGACCAAATTTTGGTCTCAAAAAATTCAAGTAGTTGTGGAAACAAAATGATAAATGAGTGCACTAGAATATCCTAAATGCAACATTGATATGTGTAAAAAAAACATGAAATTCAGTTAAAAATAATTAACTCTGCTTTGGAAGAGGATGTGGGGTCCAAGAAAGCTACAGAGAGGAGGTGACATTTAAATATACCTCTTCAGGGAAACAACAGGAAAGAGAGCAACTAAACTAGAAGGGATACTTTGGTCATTGACGAGGGTATACAGTGTACTAAAACAAGGATGAGGATTCAGTGTTCCTGTGATGAGCAAGGCGGGACTGACTAGGGCAGTGGTTGAAGATGAGGCATGTTGAAAAAAACTTGTGTGTCTTTGGATTTCACTCTAGTGACGAGGAGGCTTCACAGCAGTGAGTACTATTTGGACACAAGTATTTCATTATTTGTTTAGTGGTCAGTCTATGTCAAAAAGGTAACTCTGGCAGTTAGAAGATGTTCTGGGGAAGGAAGAGGTTAGTGGCCTAAAAACCAGTTCAGAGGTTGCTGATACAGCTCAAGTGAGAGCAAAGAGAAAGACAATGAAATAGACGAGAGCCTTGCAGCAGCATCCAGGAATGGAACTGAGCCACAACTAGCAGAGCGAGTCTGGCCTGACATCTTGGCAGGGCTCATCAGAAACATGTGAAACCAAAATTCTGAATACACAAATCCACAGGATTTTATGCAACAATCAGTGCTATTAACTCTGCCTGCCAAGAAAGGTGTGTTTCTCAAGCCCAAAGGAAGGGAAATTGCTCAAGTTTTCTTCATGACCTTGATTCAGCAGCCTGCTTTAGCAATTTTTACTGGGTCCTGACAAATAGAGAAATGATCACAGGGTTTTTAGGTGGAATCCCTTTACCATAGAAGTCATGGAAACATATTGAACCATATTCTGGGGCTGAGCCTGCTTCTCCAACAGAAATTCCCGCTTTCCAACTTCCAAATAGGCTCTTCTTAGACAATTTTAAATGCTCTCATTTTTAAATTGCCCATCCCTATTTTCTACTCTCTTCCTACAACAGTAATTCATTCTCAATAATGTAGACACACCTTGCAGATAGTATCCTGCTTCATTTGAACGGTGGTTCCCAAATGATAGCTGGAAAATCTGAATTTATATCCAGCACTCTCCAGTGATTTCATGATGCTGGTGTCCAGGGGATATACTTACAAGCTCAAAGCCAGTGCAATCTGTCTAGCTCTCTCCATCTACTCCTCAACATCTTTCTTTTCATCTAATTTTATCCTTGTTGTAACCCTAGGAGGAAGAGTGCTCCCTCTTCCCCTCTTGTCATGGAACAAGCTACTTCACATTTTCTAAAGAACTCTTGTCCAAAGTGGGTTTCCGATCTTTAAAACATTCAGCCTCTCCATCTCTATTGAATTACCTCCCTCTCTCCTTTTAACATTGTTTAAACTTAATGAAATAAATTTTTTCTGATGTCTGCCCTGTCCCCAGAGCTACATTCTAGGTTTCATTGCACCAGCCACATTCTAGAGCAGCTAATATACGTCTAGTTGTTCCCTTTTGTTTCCTGCAAAGAATTCCTTCCTATTGCTGTACAGAATGACTCCTATTCCACAGGGCTCCGCTGGTGGATGGAAACTCCTCATTTTTTCTGGTGGACCGCATACTAATGAGACTCACACACAGCGCCAATAAAATCAGGGCAGTGGATTTTGCGTTCTTTGTCTTAAAGGTGACTGATTATTCTTGAAGAGGGCTGTCTTCCTTACTTGAGTTTTAACTTTGGAAAGAATCACACATCTTAGATTTACTAGACTCTTACTTTCATTGGCACTACTAAAAAACCATCCCATAGTATATATTTTATTACTTTTGCCTATCCCATTCTTCAACAAATGACATTACTTGGCTCAACTTAATAATTATTTGTGGCATGACTAATATAATTAATGTTATCCTGATCAAGAGTTTAATAAGAATAGTTTCGAGTTTTACCAAATTATTTTAAAATTCATTTAGAATGATAAAAGAGAGGTCCCTAGCTTATCTCTCCAGCCATGTCATACTCAGCTACCCTCCATGCCCTCACGCTATGCTCCAACCACCCCTGTACATACACCTTTCCACATTTTTACATCCATATTTTTGCTCATCATTCAATGTACTTGTGAAGTTCTGCCTATATATGAAGACTCAGCTTAAGCTTTTCCTTCAACAGTCTATTCCCCACTTCCAACCTCATCTTTCAAGAGTCTTCTTTAAACTCCTTAATATGAACTGATCGTGCCATCTGAGAACATGTACTCCTTGAATACAGGGAAATATCTTATTCATCTTTTAATCTTTATAACCTAGCTCAGAATGGTGGTATACTATATGAATGGAAAACTATTAAATAATAATTGAAAAAGAAGCAAGTGAACCCAGATTAGCCATTAAAAATAAAAATTAATATAGTGAATATGGGAAAGAAATAGAAAAATGTATTAATAAAACAGAGCACAAAACACATAAATACAGCACATACTGCAAATAAATTTAATATGTGATATTAGAGACATAATTGATGAAATTTTAAAAATTAGTTAATAAACAATGCCAAGACAACTAGTTAACAATTTGAAATTTGAGGGGGAATAGATTCATACCTGATAAGAAAATTATAAAATAATTTTAGATAAGTAAAATAATTATTTAAAGACAGGGCTGGGGTGGGGGTGAGGGTATGCTAGGCTCTAGGGAGAGTAACTGTACAAAAATAGCTAGCACAACCCAGGGGAAACTGAGGATACTTTTCAACTCATAGAATATTGGAAGGCAGACTCATAGTTCTCAAGTAGAATATAGACTCAGAAAGGCCAAAAGAAAGACCAGTAGATAGTGACACTTGGGAGTCACTCAAAAGAAAGCCACCTTACCACCTTCTCTTCAACTGAGGGTAAAGACTGCCTGTCAAGAAGTTGTCCATGCAAAGAGCTTTCAACTCTGCAGAGAACTTCCTGTCACCAAACAAGGACATCCAAGATCAGAAGACACTGAGGAAGTCTCCAACATGAGAGTCAGTAAACAAAACCGAAGAACAAAAGAATTCAGAGGAAAACAATATTATTCAAGGGGCAAGAAAAAAAATCATAATCTATAATTAGTTTTTTGGAAATAATAATAGATACTGCATCTATAAACCAAGAGTAGGATACTCTACAAAAGAAAAAAGGAGAGAGAGAGAGAGAGAGAGAATTTAGGTAATAAGAGAGACCTCTTGGCAATTAAAACATATAACAACAGATGGATGCTGATCAAGGAGGGCTCCGGGAAATGGCTACACAGCAGGAATTGGAAGTCATCAGTCCAATTCTAGTGAGAGAAAAAAATAGTTTCTGAAAGGATGTCTCAACAACAATAAAAATGTGGCCCTGATAGACTAACATGTTGGCAGTAATGAAAGAAGATTTGCAGCTCTAGTGGAGACTAGAGATGAAAAAATGACTATTTTATGAGAAATCTTTATTTGCTCTGGGGAAAAAATTAAAAGTTGAAAAGCATATTAAATAATTGTAATAGACTTTTATCTCAGATGTGAACAGGACCTTATGTAGACACTAAGGTAAGTACTGACTATTGATTTAGATTGTGATATATCTTGACTGAGAGATCAAAAAGGGAAAGTGTATATGGTGGGGGATGCTGTGAGGAGCACTTTAAGAAAAATAAATCTTTATTTTTCCATAATAAATGAGTAAATAAATGGAAAATTTTAAAATTCCAATTAGGCATGACACTTTAAAGTGTAACAAGAGAAAAAACAGAGAATTTGAAAGTCTTAGAACTTTACTTCAGGATTTACTTCAGGACAGGATTTCTGCTTTCTATTTTAATATTACTTGATTTTTAAAACTATGTACACATTATTTTGTTAAAAATGAAAATTAAAAATTTTAAATCATAAAAAGCAAAAAGCAATTTACATTGATCAAATGAACAATTTAGTACAATGTAATACTCAAGAAACTTTATGTACCTAACAAGATAGTTTTAAAATATATGTAGCAAAAACTGATAAAAATTCAAATAGATACTCACAAATCCACAATCATAGTGAGGGCTTTCAATTTAAAAAGTCTATTATTTTTAAACATAAATAGGCATTTCCTAAAAATGACTATACATTATGTCACAAAAGAAAAAATATATATATTAAAGTAATTATCATCATATAGATCATATCATCTAATCAGAAATATAATAAAATAAAAAGTTAGCAATACATTAATACATATACTACATTAGAAAATACATTTTAAAACATAGTTCAAGTATGTTCATAAGATTATTAGAGGAATCTGTCAATATTTGTAGAA